CGCGACCACGATCGCTAACATCAGCATCAAGCTCCGCGGTCACGATCGCTAACGTCAGCATCAAGCTCCGCGGCCACGATCGCTAACATCAGCATCAAGCTCCGCGGTCACGACCGCTAACGTCAGCATCAAGTTCCGAGGTCACGATCGCTAACATCAGCATCAAGCTCCGCGGTCACGATCGCTGACGTCAGCATCAAGCTCCGCGGTCACGATCGCTAACGTCAGCATCAAGCTCCGAGGTCACGATCGCTAACATCAGCATCAAGCTCCGCGGTCACGATCGCTAACATCAGCATCAAGCTCCGCGGTCACGATCGCTAACATCAGCATCAAGCTCCGCGGTCACGATCGCTAACATCAGCATCAAGCTCCGCGGTCACGATCGCTAACATCAGCATCAAGCTCCGAGGTCACGATCGCTAGCATCAGCATCAAGCTCCGCGGTCACGATAGCTGACGTCAGCATCAAGCTCCGAAAGCAGGATCGCTAACATCAGCATCAAGCTCCGCGGTCACGATCGCTAACGTCAGCATCAAGCTCCGAGGTCACGATCGCTAACATCAGCATCAAGCTCCGAGGTCACGATCGCCAACGTCAGCATCAAGCTCCGCAGTCGCGATCGCTAACGTCAGCATCAAGCTCCGAGGTCACGATCGCTAACATCAGCATCAAGCTCCGAGGTCACGATCGCTAACATCAGCATCAAGCTCCGAGGTCACGATCGCTAACATCAGCATCAAGCTCCGCGGTCACGATCGCTTCCCCAGTCTGCAGGCGAAACATCACGGAGATAGTTATTTTGCTGGAACTTCCATGCATCTCACATCACAAGAAGCCGTTTTTATTTTTTTTTTGGCTTACCACATCTCGGCAACTACCTATGGCTAATTGTCGCCTTCGTGTTAGTCAGCGCCTCAGTCCTGCTACAGATCAGACTGTATTTCAGTTCACGTGAACCGAACGGAGAATTCACATGAACATGACCGGTGATAACCTTCCTTTTAATTCAGAAAGTGAATGGGCAGACAAAGGACTTACTACTTACATCGACTTACCAACAGTATATGGGCCTTTGTGAAACAAGTGGTCTTGTCCTAGCATGGGCAGCAAACGTCACTTTACTGGGATACCGCAACTAGCATTCATGCATTCATACCGTCTCATGCATACTTGTCGCCGGTAATATGAAAGGGATGTCTACACTGGTTGCTACACACAGTCTACAGGGCAGGCGCAAAGATCAGACCCCCTCAATTCTGAGCGGAACCGTACAGCCATATATCACACATGCCTCGGAAATTGTATCTAGTAAAAAGTAGCCACCGGGTGTAAGGCTTACCGCGGCGTCACCATGTAGCTCCCAATCTCTATCGCCGCTGAACTATGCCTATATCATCTGTCGGCGCGCCAGAATCTGTCATCGGTAAATTCACAGACGCCGCAAGCTGTGCGCAATATATGAACTACGCAAGATACAAGAATGAACGTAATAACATAGACTGGACTACGACGCGTCCTGCCTCATGGCAAAAAATTTCGGCGGCCGCACATTTTCCATGATCTACTGTTTTCTTGCAGACAATTTGTTAAAACACATGAAGCGATGCCAACACAGGGTTCGGCAAGTGCTTTAATACCACACATTAATGTCAAAGTTGTATTTTGGGTATGCTGATAACTACGTTACGGTGCAAGCTCAAAAGGAGTGCACGACACATAGCGAATCAGAAATGATGTGCGTGTACGTAATCGCAAAAATCCTGCAGAACGTTCTATTCTTTAAAGGACATTAATACGACTCATATTTATAAAACATAGAAAAGGGCCGGAAATCGCAGGCAGCCATTGAAGCGCCGGCAATTCTTCCGCCTGGCTTGCAATTTGCAAAGGCGTAGGCGCCGAGCGGCCAGCCGTCGGCGCGCCAGGTCAGTAGAGTTTCTCATCACCATCACCCGTCTTAATGTCCCTCCGGGTACACATGCCTCTGTATCCATGATTATGACACCATCGCGATTGTGGCTTCCCACGATTGTGACTGTCTGTGCCTCCGATGGGGTCGGCGTTTTTTAAGGGCCACCCTCTCCTGATCGTCCTGGCGCGCATGTCCGAAACGAGATGTCGAAACGAGCGCCCGGGTCAAACGTGAAAAACAAAAACCGCACTGGCACGTTGGAAAAAGCAGCATGTGGCCCACCGCGGATAGGTACACCACGCGCCACAAGAGTTGGAGCGACACTGCCGGCTCAAACTAGCAGCAAATATCGTCATGGAACATCAGCGGAGCCGACCTCTCACCAGGTAAGGCAAACTCACCGTGCACACATCAGCTAATTCAGTCTGCCTTTCGATTAGGGAAAAGGTTGCATTTTTGTACTTATATTGGAGTCGTCTCATCTGCTAAATGTCAGTAAATTTTTAAATGTTAAATTTCTGAAATATCACTAAATTTCAGCCGCTGCGCTTCACACTGGATCGAACTGTGAGGCTAGTCAAGTAAAGCTTTTAGATGAATCGATTAATTTCAACTGAACTAAACTTCGTTTGACTTCCAGCTAATCCTGACTCCACCCAGAGTGACACACAGGACCGCTTCTAAGAGTATACACTTTTTGACGGCTATCTGTCGAAGGGGTTCGATCTGCCAAAAAAAAAGATTTTGCACTTCCTGAGGAAGCATTAGGGGTGCCAATCTTCACACATGATTGGAGGGTGGGGTAAACCAAAGGCCCGACGGCCAAACTTCCCGAAATTTGTGTTCCTTAACTGATTTATCCCACTGTATTGTGACGACTTGCAATTTTCCATAATTTATCAAATAGTGTTTAATTTGCGCAGCATAGCAGCCATGCAAAGGCGGATTCAGAGGGATGGGAGACTGAGGGCATGCGCCTCTGGCATGAGACTGGAGACTGGCATGTGCCCCTCGCAGTCGGAAGGTGAAGGCCCCCCTCTAGAGGTCACCCTAGCCCGACCCTCTGTGGTGGCACCCCTACAGGTGCACCCTGCACGAGGCCAAACAGAGCAAATACTCATGAAGACCCAAAGGTGCCTTAAACCTTAGAAGAAGGGGAAGAGCCGCCCCGAGGGCTGGAAAGGCGCCATGTGATCTTGCCATATGCTGAGAAGTAAAAAAAAGACATGTGGCAAAGCCCATAAGGCTGGGGATTCTCTTTTTAAAAAAATCAAGTCACAGAATGAAGGCCCTTCTGCCATCTATTCCTTATCTGGGCCCTGCTCCGTTCCCCGTCGGCGGCCACTGCCCTGGCCCGGCAGTCTCCCGCATGACTGACTGCGAACTAGTGGTATGGCTACTTTGTTGCATATCTCTGGATCAGCTTTACTACTAATTGGTGAGTAAAGCATATGTTGGCCACCTGCAACAGTGTCCCGAATTATGTTCCTTTACACCACATCACACCACCGCAGATGAAGTATGCGGTGGTGTGATGCGTGGTGTAGCTTCCGAGAAGCTGCCTGCGTGAGGTATGAATCGGTCCAACAGACATTCAATTGTCCATCATTCAACGCAGCCGACTTGATCTACTTTTTGTCGGTTTCGGGTGTTTTTGTGACCTTTGCCCTGACCCCAGGTTGCCGTCTTTTGAAAAGGATTACAGGTTGTTGACCATGGGGCACCGATTGGGGAAGGTTTCGTGCCGATCGATGTCATAGGCTCGGAGCATCAGGGGTTGTAGTTTTTTTGGTAGCTTGGGAAGGTTCTAGCGACCTTTGGTCTCACTCAGGTTCACTTTCTTCCTTTAAAGATAGATTATTGAACATGCATCGATTAGCAAAGGCTTCGTGCCAATCAGTCCCCTAGGCGCAAAACATAGGGCGACCTGCACACTGACGTCTGACGTTTTCTGGCATTTTTTGTGACCTTTGACCTGACCCAAGTGCACCATCTTTTGGAAAAAAAATATTTAATCTTCCATGACAGATCGTCTGGCAAAGGCTTCGTGCCGATCGGTTCGATATGCTCGCAGCATGAGGTAGTCTTCATACTGATCTTTGTCGATTTTGGGCGCTGATTTCACGTCCGCTCAGTTCGCGATTTATTTAGCGATCTATATAAAGACGAGTTTCGATTTCGCTGAATACGTGTCTGCTGCTCAATTATGGTACGAACACATTAAATCTGGTGTCTATTTTGCAATATCGCGTGAACTTCAAGGTCGAATTCAAAATCAAATGGCGGTGAACTCAACATCACCCAAAACCTTCAGGTGATTTCAATTTCTTAAGCGTCGCAGTATTCAACAGTGCATTGACTACCGCCAGTCGAAAAGTCCTAGCCTCTCAAGTTCACCATTTAAGGAAAATCCAAGCTCAAATTAATGATATCAACTCAGTATCATCCAAAATTCGACCACCATTTTCGGATTTCAAGCATGATGATATTCGCCAGTAAATGAGCTAGCTTCCGTTCAGGTCAGGTGTTTCAGCCGCTGCTGAATATTCTGATGCCCGATGAAACAAAATCGGCCAGGAGTTTTTGGACGTCGTAGAGTAGTCTGTCATTTTACCTTGAAGGTCACGTCATCGTGCAAAGTAGACGTTATATTCGATATACTCGTGCCAAAATTGACCACATGGCCCGTTTTCAGCGAAATTGGAACTCGTCGCAGTGTAAATCGCAAAATGGAGCGCTATCTACACGTGCGCGTCCCTGTGCTCTTTGACCTTATTTAAGAGCACCATTTTCTGAGAAGGAAAGGAGATCGACTAGCGCACATCGGTTGGGGAAGCTTTGTGGTGATGGGGTTCGTTGCATGCAACGAATTTTTCCAGTTTTGATTATTTTAGTAATATTTAACCTTCAAAAGTCACCATTCACTCCAAGAGTTAATCGACAACGTGAAATCGAATGATGAAGGTTTGGTGTCGATCAGTTGCATAGGTTTGGAGCATAGTGTTGTCAACAGGTTTAATCAGTTGTTTAGTCCGTCCTTCCTAGCTCCCTGATACGACCTTGGCCATTAGCGCTGGTTGTCGTGGAACGTGTAGGGAATGGGAGGCGTTCAAGTTGTGTCCGGGTCGTGTTGGGGGCTGTAGCCGCTGCATGGCATTTGAGTGCGTCAGTTGAAGGAGCTGTTCGAAAGGTGCGGCACCTGCTTGATCATCGGAGGTCGAGTGTTTACGATTATCGATAATTCGGTCAAGACCAGTCACAGGGTTTACATCAGTCATTCTTGCTCAAATCTCGACGTGAGGTTCCATGGTGCTCTTGGCGTAGGCAGACGCGCTCTGAAAAGCTATAAATTTCGTCAGTTCCTGTAACTAATTGCGTATGAGCATGTAATGTACAAGCATTGTTGAAGTGATCATGAACAACAAACAAATTGTGCTTGTCCTGCGCTATTGCATCGTGAAAATGGAAAATCCCTCTGTGCTAGGTGGCTAGGGGCTTAACAAGCTGAAACTATGGCATGTGTGTGCTGAACACAGCTCAGGGAAGGTTGGCTAATTTTTAAATGCATTTTGACATGCACATATATTGGTGCTTTAAAAATATTTGAGGCTGTTTTTGCTTTAATTTACCATCTGGACATGCAAGTTTCCCAAAAGACTTTCTCTTTGTTCCAAAATGGGTGACACAACTTCAGTAATCTTGGGCCATTCAAATGCATGGCATGCCTACATGCCCCCTGGTTGTCACCACTGTTTAACAGATATGCTGTACATGATGGGCTTGATATACTTTTCCTCAGTCTGGGTCTCAGGCTTATAATGCCAACTAAATGAGTATGATATAATAGTTTAGGAATATCTCAATTATTCTTCAGATGAACTCAGTTGGTCTGGGCACTTCAGCTAAGAAATGCTTCACTCTTATTAGGTGACACTGAATGCTGCCAGCAAAAATAGCAGTGTATTAGGCAAAAACTCTTAAAAAAGAAGGCAACTTTGATTAGGAATGGGAACAGGTTGCATGGTGTGGTCTTGTTTTTTGTTGATGTGTGCCATGCAGTACTTTGTGACCATTGTCACATTCTCCACAAACTTTTGGAGCTGGTGTCGTGTAGTATGGAGTATTTGGGGCAATTGTGTCATCAGTGCCTTACCTGTCTCACACATAATTGTATGAAGAGTTTGTATTGATCTTTATCCTGTGCTGTTGGGGTGCATTATGCATCCATGTTTAGTTGCCCTTAAGATTGAGGTTCAAGGAAAGCTCCTGTTCCTGTAAATAATAAGCACAATTAGGTATTAGACATGGTGATGTTGTCTTAGACCTCTGCCAAACTGCTGTCTCAAGCTCATTTGAGTGAACATGGATTTAAAACAGCTGTAGTGAATTTACCACACAGTAGAATTCTGCTTACATGCAAACATATGTAGACATCAAAAAAGTTATTGCTAAACAATAGTGTGCATCAGCCTGTATATTTTCACATATGATGGATTGCATAGATAGCACAACACTAGGTCTGCTATATTCACCTACCCAGTTATACAAGAAAGCATCATGCTCGTAAATGAGCAAGCAGGTGGCCATGTTAAGATTTACACATTCAATTTAACAACACCAATTTTCAGCTTACTTGGGAGTACCTGAGAAAAGGAGAAACCAACCTGCTCTTCATCTAATCATTCTCTGATATCAGAACCATCAAAGCATGTCTGAGAGCTATGGTAAGTGCCCACTTTCCTGTCATAAGCAGCCACATGCTCTGAGCTGTACAATCTACTTTGGTAGGCTGCCATTTGGTCATAGGCTGATGTTCTTGACACTAGCTTATTATAGTTGTTACTTGTAAAACTTGCCATCCTTTATGCATTTTGAGTTGTAAAAGATGTGATGTTTTCAGGTATTGTCTGTTACTATCACAAACCTCTGTAATTTTTGTGTGTTTTGATAAAAATAACCTTAGCCACATTCATTTTCAGACTTCCTGTTCAAGTTCCTGGTCATTGGAAGTGCAGGGACTGGAAAATCATGCATATTGCACCAATTCATAGAGAATAAATGTGAGTTTATTGTGTTGATGGACACATTTACATGTCTTTTGTAATAGATCTGGCTCAGTGGAATGATGATATGACATATGACATGACATGAAGACACACTGTATATGCCTTGCCAGTGCAATTAATTTCAGATGGGTACATATTTCTCCAGGACAGTGGTGTTTAGATGCTCAGACACAACCTGGATCAAAAGATATGTTCCATGATGACTATCTATGCTTTAATAAACCAAACCTGTTGTGCCACTCTCTTCCTATGGAAACACACTGCTGTCGTGTCTTGCACCCACTTTTGGATGCAGGCACAGACTGTCTGTGACTTTTGGGTCATTATATTAGGTCTGTACACCATAGGAGAAAGAAAATTCATGGATGACTGTTTTTCTATTTGAGGTCATTTTACCAAAGCAAAGTGGAAATCCATACATGAATGGATGCCTTTTGTTTGTCAGGGATTTCATAATGCTGAATCAGTCATCATGCAGACTATGACTTTATTCTGACACACACAGGTTTGTACAAGTTGTTCAGTTTTTGTCATATTTAACCAATATCTGAAAAATGCACATGAAGGCTAACATACTGTTGATGTGAGAAAGCTTTTTAAGTATACTGCATATACAATGGCAGTAGCATCTCACAAGCTGATACCGCATTAATGTCAACACAGGGGTTGCAAACCTAGAAAAAATATGGTAGATCATAATGGAACATGTATGAAAACCAAGAGTGTTGATGTCAAACCTTATGCTGTTTGTCATCATGGGCCGTTTAAGGCAGGAGTGGTTTATTAATGCACAAGTCTTTACACTGCACGTGTGGAAATAATGATAACACTGGCACTTTGTGCACCAGACAGTACTCTGGTGCTAGCACTAATACTGTGCTGTTTTAAGCTGCTTGTTTGTCATATGTTTTGATCAGTAGTGATGCAAATGTTTTCTGTAAATTAGTAACTTCCAACAAGCACACGTTCCACGCCGGCCAATGCGCTTGTAAAAAGACTTGAAAATGCGCGCAAACAGCGTCGTATAAAATCGCGAATGCTGCCAGTGCCAAACATGGGGATCCCTCCCCAACAAGAACCATTGTCTGTTGTGATTACGGCCAGTTACCAGGTGTTACTGAGCCGCGTTTTGCCTTTCAGTCAAGCAGGACAGCAACCACACGATCGGAGTCGAGTTCGGCTCGAAAATCATCAACGTCGGTGGCAAGTCGGTCAAGCTACAGATCTGGGATACGGCCGGACAGGAACGGTTCAGGTCAGCAACGCAGATATAAAAATCACTGCGGAGTTCTGGGATATATCAGAGTTAATGTTTACACTATCTCATATTACTCAGTTTGCAAATCACCAGCCTCAATGCTTTGAGCAATAACATTGGCTTATCTAACGTATTGTTGAGAGTGGCGGATCGAGACAAAATTATTGGAAGTAAGGTAGAGATTGGACATTTTGGAATATATGCATCAATTGGTCCAACCAGGAACCAGAAACCTTTTCCCCCGGACGAATAAATCTCGTGGAATTTGGAAACCGCCATTCATTGCCGCAAACAGTGACACGCGGCTCGTCTCGAATTGACTGAACCATCAGCAGTTATATTTTTACTGGACCGTCGACGTGCACCTCACCACACAAGGCAGCTTTTCCCGATCGGTGGCAGTGTGCCAAACCGGATCGTGCTCTATCTGGTCCCGCGAATAGTTAGAATGACGCGCGCCGCCGCTGTCGCTCGGCAGATCGGTGACGCGCAGCTACTACCGCGGCGCCGCCGGCGCCCTGCTCGTGTACGACATTGCCAGCCGCGAGAGCTTCAACGCGCTGTCCGCCTGGCTGACGGACGCCCGCTCGCTGGCCTCGCCCAACATCGTCATCCTCATGGTGCGTGCTGCTGTGGCGCAGCGCGGGCGGGCGCGCGCCGCCGCCGCGTGATACGGAGGCGTGCGACCACTCCCGATAAGATACGGCGAGTGGGCGCCGGGCTCTGCGTGGCGACCGCGTACAGGGCTTGATGACCGCGAGCCCCGTGCTGGGCCGAGGTCGGCACGGCATAGTCCGTGCGAGAGGCAGACGCGACGCGGTGTCATCTTTGGCGCGGCGGAGCAACGGTACGTAATGCTCGGCTTGTGTGGAGCTGGTTACTTCGCGGTCGTCGTCGTACCGTCCTGTACACCGGTACATGACGGTGCGGTGACCTTTTTCTTACTACACAGTATGCCACACCTAACCTATATACGGCACGTCTGATTCAAGTCGCCTGCATATTTCTGGAGGGCATACCAGGCCCTCGCCAGTCCACGATATCATCTTTTTACACATTTTTCTTACCACACAGTAGGCTGCACATGTCCTTATCCTAGATCCTCCTTTCATCTGGACTACATTTCCCCGGTAACCCTAACATCAAAACGGCATTTATAAGCAACTGGGATATGCCAGTCAATAGGGGTATACGGATCCTGATAAGTGCAGCTGTAGGAAACGGACCCAGCAATCCTGTTTCATCTGCCTTTACGACGAGCGCATTACAGGCCGCTATTGAGACGGAACGTGCCGTCATATCCGGCGAGTAAACAAACGCCCGCATGGACGCCGCTCCCATCGGCGAGCGAAGCGCCGGGCCAAGGCACCGACCGCCTCCCGCTGACCGCGCCGCCGCCGCTGCAGGTGGGCAACAAGAAGGACCTGGACGCCGAGCGCGAGGTGACCTTCCTCGAGGCGAGCCGGTTCGCGCAGGAGAATGAGCTCATGTTCCTCGAGACGAGCGCCATGACGGGCGAGCACATCGAGGAGGCGTTCCTCAAGTGCTCCAAGACCATCCTGGCCAAGATCGAGACCGGTGGGTGGCGCGCCCTGAGGGGACGGCTGAGGAGCCGCCGAGCTGGGCGACGGGGCACGGGTGCTCAGGGGAGGGGGGGGGGGGGGGGGGGGAGGGGACGGGCCGTGCCGCGCTGATGTGTGGGCAGGAACGTCAACGTTGATGCATCATGGGGAGGGCTTAGGATTGATTTCGCTGTGCATCATGCGTCAGCTTGCTTCCAGTTGTGTTAAAAGTGTACGTTTATGTTGCGAAATGCCTCCGAAGTCATGAGCAACGCTTGCTGTCCATTGAATATGGGGATATGGGTTTGTGATTTCTGATGCTGATGATGGGACGATTGCATTGTGATCGTGCGTGCGAATTTCATGTCGTATTTTTATACAGATACTAGTAAAGTCAAGTCTTTTATCGTGTTTTTCCCATTTCATGAGTTCTTCGTCGTTACGGCACATTCACACGTATTGTGATTGCATTTTTTATAATGCAGACACGTGCCCGTCATTCACACTGATACCACTGGTGCGTGTCCCGCGGTCCCGTGGCCGCTCTGACCGTGCTCGGCGCCACCGGCAGGCGAGCTGGACCCGGAGCGGATAGGCTCGGGCATCCAGTACGGCGACCACGCGCTGCGCCGGCTCAACCGCGGCACGGCCCGTCCGACCAGCGGGCCCGAGTGCGGCTGCAAAATCTGAGGCGCCGCCGGACGCGCGGGCGCCGGCCGGGCGCAGAGGCGACGACTATTTATTGCGGAGGGTCGCGGCCGGCACCGGCCCTGCTGCGCTGTCGATGTTGGTGTGACTCTCGGTCAGAGGTTTATTTTTAACGTAGTCGCCGTGATTTCTCGTACGAGTTTATGGGATTTGTGTTCACAGAGTGGGGTGCTGGTGCGCCGCTCTGCCGCGGGCTCCGACGCGCCTCCCCGTCGGGTCCGAGGGTCTGCGCGCGGGGGTTGCTGGGCAAGCACGTCGTTACTTTGTCCGCTGTCGTCATTCCCTATGCGCTCTAGCTCGTGCCTTCCGCGCCACTAGGCACTGGCCCCTCCGCCTCTGCGTCGTCACAGTGGGGGGTCTGGCAGCCTTCCGGCGTTTCACCTCAGCTGCGGGCTAGCCGGCTCCTTTGTACCACGCGGCAGGGCTATGATCGGATTTCGTGACAACGAGGAATGACGCCCGAAGGTGCGCCTGTTCCTGGGCTACAGGGGCATACGGGAAGGGGCTATTTTGTCCCCCGTGATTTGAGTCGGCCCGATAGCGCGTCTCTGTGGTGGATTGTGCGTCGCGTCGCTTGCTGTCTTTATGGCTAAGCTTGTTTTGCAGTTAGAAGACATTGGGGATTCTTTTCCGAACCGGAAAATGACGCATTCGAGATGGTGTCATGAGGAGAGACTGAAGTGGCTGTGGCAGCAGGCTCCCTGTCCGTCGTCATGCTGGCCAAGCGGCAGCTGTTGATGAACCCGTCGTGTTCTATGTTTGATATTGATCACTGGACAGCGGCGACGCGTGCAGTTGCATCGAGGGCCGTCTCCCACGAGCCCAGTGCCGCGCGCCCGCCTCTCTCCCTGGTCCCTAGGTGTAAGTCCCACCTTCTGAGAACCGTGATAGGTTCTGTGGAGCTTTAAACGTAGTCTCACAACCTGAACTGTGAATTGTACTATACTGTATTGGCAGGGCTCCGCGCATGTGTATAGCGAGTTTGTTTAAGCTATCACGGGCGAGGATGTGAATTTACTTTAATGACCGGGCAGCGCGACGCTCGTCATGCGCTTGCCTTATGGTCGATGATTGGCAGCCACCAAGCCTCTGTCTGGTGTAGCTATGTTTTCTGGTCATGACAAGACTAGAAATGTGTCGTAGGGCGACTCATTTGAATATTTCTGCCTTATGCTTAGTAGAAGAGAACGCTTCTCAGCAGTAATGCTTTGTGATCACACTGGTAAAAGTAGCGTCGGGAGCCTGTGATAGCCGTCGTGTATGGTCCATATACCTATACCGCCCATTCGATTGGGGCCCATATCGCTGCTACGTAACGCGAAGACTTGCGCGTTACCTCCGCCCGCTGAGTACTAGGACAAGTCGCTGGTCTTTTGGCGGCGTTTGCCATCACCTTTTTGTTTGTTATGAATGCATGTGGGGGAAGACGTGAACCAAAATGCGTTGATGAAATTCGACAAGCGCCGCCGTGTTCGGCGTTATGAAGCAAGCGCGGGAGTCACGAATCCCCGCCGCTAGCCAAAGATTAGAAACAGCGCGCCCTGCGTATGCACGCAACTGCATCAAAGAACTTGACTTTGCTAGTTTTCAGTCCATCAGCGACCAAACTCCGAGCTACCACGCGGCCCTCCTAGCAGCGCGGCTCGCTCACCGTCTGTTGCCGCGCGAGCGGGGCCTCCGGGCACGGCCTCTCCTGACCCGCGGTGTGTACCGTGTGACAGTGACGGACCGGCGCGGCGATGACGGCGGCTGTCCGCGCCGCCCCAGAGCCGGCTTTCTGTTGTAACACCGAGTCTAGTCTCCGAATAAACGAGCCCAAAGCCGGCGGCGTGTTGACCCGCGGTGCCGAGATGCCCGCCGTTCAAACAGCCGGGCCGGCGGTAAGTGCGCGGCGCCTGGGATCGATCGGCTCGGTGTCGGCTGTCGCCGCATCGATCTACCCCAGCCGGCCGCGGAGCGTCCCGGCCGCGCGAGACCGCGAACTCACCTTGAGGTCGGCCGCAGGGGCTTCGTGCTGAGGGCGGGGCACGCGCACGCACAACTGGCACTCGAGTGACGCAGAGGCTAAAGGAGGCGGGGCAGGTAGAGCTTCCACCGTCTCCCCGAGTCGTTCACGTTTGCGAACTTTCGCTGCGAGAGCCGAGTGATCGCACGGACGTGGGAACGTTCGTGGCCGGAAACGGCACGTGACGTGCATGTTGACGCACTAAATCCGCATTTTACGCTAGTAAAATTGACAACGTAGCCAAAGACAAGACGATGCAAGTCCGCATTTTAGACGGGTCAAATCAGTCAAAACGAGAACACCCAAACAAACACACCACTTTCGTTTCACAGACGATGGTCGGGAAACGTTGACCGATGACGAGTGATAGGTGACGGAAGGAGTAGAATTGCGGTCACAGAGCTAAGCCATGAAAAGACGTACACGGTTTGGTTCATGGAAAACGGAACATACTTTTCGAATAATAATTACGCCACATGATATCAATCAATCAACAATAAAATAAAAACATGACACCGCTTCAGCATCCTCAGCATGATAGGCAACACACGATGATAGAACTTAGTCACTTTTGAACTTCACATGATTGATGAAATAAAGAACATAGTGCAATAAACACATGTGTTGCTGACTGCATGATTAAATAAATACGAGCTAAGTGACCAAGCGGCGGAAGCGTCCTCATTTGAGTAAGCGTGCACACTGACTAGCTGACATAAGGCATGGTGGTAGATCCAGGTGGACGACCATACTGTTGTGCACAGAGACCACTCGGTAGCAAATCAGCAGTCACGGCTGCTTGAGCGGCTTTACACGTGGTCAGTGATAGGTGCCATCGCTAACCACGGGACCAGACGACTGCAGTCCGGACGTCAGCTGTCCAGAGGGGATCTAATTTTCACTACGGCACTGCAGACCGTATCTAATTTGCACTACGGCACTGCAGACCGTATGTAATTCGCGCTACGGCACTGCAGACCGTATCCAGTTCGCGCGACGCACTGTAGACCGTATCCAGTTCACGCGACGCACTGTAGACCGTATCCAGTTCACGCGACGCACTGTAGACCGTATCCAGTTCACGCGACGCACTGTAGACCGTATCCAGTTCGCGCGCCGCACTGCAAACGGTATCCAGCTCGCGTGCCGCACTGCAGACCGTATCCAGTTCACGAGACGCACTGCAGACCGTATCCAGTTCGCGCGACGCGACTGCAGACGAGGCCCAGATTGCCCACCACCTCAGACGGCGTCCAGCTCGCCGGCAGTCCAGCCGGGCGTAGGTTCGCTGGACGTCAGGCTTCAGACGGGCTCGACGGTGACCGGCTGGAAGTCGGGCACCATCTCGCGCACGAGACGCCTGAGACGCTCCCTGCGGGCTTCGACGGCCCGCTCCTCCTCCAGAGCGTCGTGGAGCCGCCGCCAGCGCCGCAACGCCCCGGCACAGGTCAGCCTGGCGGCGGACAAACGGCAGCGTGAGGCGAGCAGCTTGGCAGACACGCTCCACATGACTGGTAGCAGCAGCTCGGCAAGTTGCGGGTGACGCGTCGGATCGACAGGTTTCCTATTCAACAGTCGAACAGCTTTACCGATCGGGAAACGGCAGAACCACCTGGTTTTGACTATTTTCCGACTATATGGCGCCAACCAACTGACGTCACTGTCCTTCCTGAAGTCGCACTTTCTTCCGACGTCCCCTGGTCCTCCCTTAGGTCAGACGTCTCCCTTGACGTCACACCCATCTGCTGACGCTGCACGACTTTCATGACGTCACACTATCCCAAGATGTCACGTCCCCGCCACGACGTCCAAGAATTTCACTTAGTGTTCTACATCCCAATGCCAACTGTAAAGTCACACCCTGTCTCTGACGTAACATCCTCGTCTGAAGTCATATCCTCCCGACGTCACTCCTCTCAGCGCTCCCGTGGTGTTACGCCGGTTACCTTATCTCCCCTTACCTCGCTCCTGTTCATCCTTGCTCGCTTCGACGAATGCTGGAAAAGCCACTGTTGCGGGGTCGGGGGAGGCGGCGTATGCATTAGACCGGGCCGCCGCATGACGTCACAGCTGACGTCACACCGCTCACCTGACGTGACAGAGCTGGGCGCGGTGCATCTTCTGTCGGCGTCGGACCCGGGCCAGCGCCACACTGGCCTGCCAAGTCCGCAAGGCGGCCTGCACCCGCTGCAGCTGGCTCAGGTCAGCCGCCGCCTGCTCCTTCAGCCGCTGCTGGTGCACGTACTGCGGCAGCGCCGTGTGGCAACGTGTTGCATGTTGTGTTGCAAGAGACGTGTTGCGACAGGAGCCGCGCGCAACCATACGCCTAGTACTTATGCAGAACACGGAAACCCGCCTGACAAAATTGTAATTACGGGTGTGTCTGTCTCAGTATTATGTTTTGTGCTTACATCAAGTGCTCCTTTGTTGTTTAGTGCCCCCACCAAGAACCATTGGTTTTCACACAACGCTGTCCACTCGCGGCAGCTCTAACATTCCGGCTGACGTCATTCCGCTGACCGCCAGGAGCCTCTACCATGCCGGCCACCGTCGTCCTCACCCTTCTCCATCGACGCAGGGCCCAGGCGGCCAGACGGGATTCGCGCCAGTGCTGGGCGGCCTCCACGCGCTCAGCGGCTGCCAGGGCGCGGTGGTGGCGCCACCTGTCCAGTGAGCGGCGCAGCAGAGCCTGGCGAGCTCGCAGTTCGGCCGCGGACGTCATCTGGTGGCTCCTCTAACGGGACAGGCGGATCGGCGTTAGCCGAGGACTGGGGCCACGGGGCGTGGCGGAACGAAGCGCTGAAGACCATGCTGGCCATGTTGGCCATCTTGCCATGGTGGCAAGACGCCTAACCATCAGTGCGGACGCCTGAGCGGTTAATTAAAAATAAAAAAATAAAAAAACAACTCGCCATTGCTGTCAGCAGATGTCGCCAACTACGCGGAGCTGATGTTGGATAAATTCAGCCCAACAATGGAGTTGCAATCCGATGGAAGTCACTAAACTTTAACCCAAATAAGCGAAGGAAGCTCCAGCTCTGATTAGCACAGTGGCGCGGTAAAGTGCTTTACATCAAGTCCACATCGGCCAGCGTTGTACACCAACACCGGCGCCCGCCCGACCCGCGCAACCGCACCTGGACATTCAGCAGCAGCGCGCGGAACACGCGACGCACGAGCGCCCGCCGGCGCGCGCCGTCCGCCAGCTCGGCCTTCTGACGCAGCGCCTGCTGGCCGCGCAGCTGCCGGCGCCACAGCTCCTCCTGCAGGCGCCGCCTCTCGCGCAGGTCCTCCCACTCGCGACGCTTCTGCGGCGGGGGACGAACGGCTGGTCACGACCTGGGCTGGGGCCGTAGGTCCACATCGTCGTTCTTACGCGGCGTGCTCGCGATCACTGACGTTGTTTGCGTTGCCATGAGCATACTTCGTGGCTTGTTATGTGTTGTGGCGGCACCTAGCGCAGCATCTCCGCATCCCCACGACGGCCTGCATGTCGCACGATGACGCGTATACCGGCATCCCCAACAAATAATTCGCATGAACTACAGACTTAGCATCAACGCCAACCCGCTCTCACGCACGCCCCACGCAACACCCTCCGACTCCAAACCCGGCTCACCTCACTGGCAATGCTCCGCTGCCGTTCCTCCTGCAGCTGACGCTCAGCCTCGAGACTGCGAGCAGCGCGCTCCTCCCGGCGCCGACGGCCCTGCTCCTGCCGGAGTCGCCGCTGCTCGGCCCGCCGCTCCAGCTCCACCTGGTACTCGGGCCGCGTCGCCGCCGGGGCCGGCCCGGCCCCCCGCGCCACCTGCGGCGGCGTCTTGCGTCGCGCGCGCCGGTTGCTGCCGCTGTGCATCAGAAAGGTGAGCAGGTGCGGCGCGCGGCGCAGCTCCGCCTCCGTCTCGGGGTCGGGCCGGCGACGCGCCAGGCGCAGCGCGTGCGAGGTCATGATCTCGGCGCAGAGGTCGACCGAGCCGCCGCTGTCCACCTCGGCGCTGTCGAGCCGGGCGGACGCCGCGGCTGATGGCACGGGCCGCCCTGGAGCCGGGCCGGGAGGAGGGTCAGGCGATCCCGACCGCTGCTCGGGAGGAGCTCCGACCGAGGCGGCGAGCGGCTGAGGACTGTCCCCGCCGCACTGCCGCCGGGGAGGACTTGGCGCGTCTCCCTGGGGAGGGAGGCTACCGACTTCATCCCACGATGGAGACCCATGTCTGGAGGACGACGGTGGCTCCTGGAAATCGCCGCTGGCGGCGGAGTCCCCGTCGACCTGCTCACGCAGGCGGCGGATGAACTCGCCGATGGCGTCGGCGTCGGCAGGCAGCGGATGGGGCGCGCGTCGACCCGACGCGTCCCGCCAGCGACGGAACAGAGACGCCACCATGGCTCGGCTCGCGAAGTCGCGGCTCTTGGCGGAGGGACGTGAACGCCGCATTCTTTGCACTGTTGGGGTCATTGGTACCATGCCATCCTGGGGTATGTGGGGAACTGGCAGTGGCTTGATATCAGGCTGAGCTGGCTGGAGCCTGATAGGTTTGGTGCTGCGTTTTTCGAGGAGGAACTCGTACCAGAGAAGGAAGTATTTCAGAACAAGAGTGTAGTCCGTGTCCTTGTTCATTTCTTGTCATTTATATGCTAGGTTATTCCTTCTTTTCTGTAAAATAAGACATTCGCTATTATTAAAACTTCAAAACCTATCAACTCATAAAACAAAGCAGATGGTCAGGTGGTTTTATGCCAGTCTATTTATCATGCTTCCTTGTGGCTTTTATTATTTTGTGGTAGCTATGAATGATTGGAAAAGTTGTTGTATGTAGTACCAATGAAGTGATCAATGCAGTCGCAGGTGTGCATAATAACTCAGGCAGCCTAAGCAGGGAAAGTGGCTATGCCTAACCCTAACATACAGAAAATAAGGATTTTTGCAACTCTGACCTACCTTGGTCTGAAGTTTAAGGGGAGGAGATGGAGCCCCATACAAAAAGGAAACTTCAGCCTGTCATTAAGTCATATATTTGCATAAATGACAAGTAATATTACCACACAAAAATTATAACAAAAAGATCTTGTTGGTCTGAAAGGCATCAACTTCATAGTTACATGGGAACATTAATTTAAAGACATTAGATTGGAAGGCCTAAGAAATATTAAAAAAATAAAGCAAGGCTAAAAAATTAGATTGGAAAGTCATTAGAAGAATGAAAAGAAAATAGCTTGGTGAAAGGACAGACTTAAGTTCAGTAAAATTTTGGTGCTCATACTAAGTCACTCATTGGCCAGTGTCACACACTTTGTCAGCACATGGAGGGGAAGAGTTATGGCAGCTTTTTATACTGAGCATCAAACAAGTTGACAATACATGCAAGAAAATACCTAAACATCTTCTGATAGTATGTCCAACTTTTGCCTTGATGTAATCTATGGTTACTCCCAGGATCACAACACCACTGCATGTAAAGCTATGTTCAGCCCCATACCTGTGTACAATCTAAGCTAACAAGCCTTGCATATAAACCATCCTGATGACAGCCATGCCAAAGTTGTCATATCCCACCAGCCATTAAGTATATCTTAAGTACATTTGTGCACAACTCACTTACACAAAATCTATTTCAGCATGGGAACCTATATTTGTGACTCTTTGTCATGTGTTTACTTTTCCGGCCCAAAGAGGGACACTACTGAGCAATACCTTGGTTTGCAAGGCATTATGACAGTATGATTTTTTGGTAGATTATATATTTATGCAACTCTGAACCATACCTTGAACACACCAACCCAACATCAAACATATGGAAACGTGATGAGGATACGACAGTCCGGACCACCATCACATCACATCACATCATTCATCACATGGATTTCGATCACAGATTGACCAAATGACTGCATCCTCACAACATGCTTTGGAAGTGACAGTATAAATACTGGCCAATCGGTTTACTTGGTTCACGACATGGGGGAACTGGGAATATCCAATAAAGCGCCAATGCCACCTACCCGTGGTCGCGTTCCTATAATGCCCTGAAGGTGACAAATGCCGATGCGCAGCTAGTTTTTCTCAAATCGTCGCAAACGCGGAACTTAAAGCTCGGCGGAATTTATTTACAACTGTTGGCATGGCAACGATCGAAGGTGCAGGAGATGAAAGGCGTTTGAGCGAAAGGCGGTTTTGAACGATAGTATTATTGAGCCTAGGAATAAATAATGGTATGGAATTACTGTCAACATTTCTGAAAGGATAATCTAGACATAATTCGACCGCAAATTAATCTTCAAATTTGCTGTTGCAGGTTTCCTACGCTGGGATTAAACGACCTACCGTCCAGAATTTTGTTTTTCTTAACGGATTTATCCTACTTTGTTCTGATAAAAGCCATTTTAAATTTTCAATTTCTGCATAATTCATAAAACATGTCTTAATTCAATCAGCATAGGGCATGGGGGGGGGGAGACAGGTGTATGGAAGGGGAGCGAAATATATTCCAGGACTACGTCTGTGAGAACAATTTGCCCCGGAGACTGCGGAGCGGGGCCTCCGGAGCCGAACGCTGTACCCTTTAACTCATCGCAGCGCTTAGGTATGCCGGAGAACCTCCGAGGATGGCGTAACCTACTTTGCGCTGCTGAGCCGCGACCAAGGCCACAACGGACGGAAGGCGACCCACTTGCTACCAAGGCCGTCGCCGTCGCTGGAGCAACCCGTACCCGTGGTACGCTCGACCGCACCAGAAACACAGGACTGCATCCCGAGGCATGCTCAACGATTGCCAGGCCCAAGCATCACAGCAACCCAACCGTGGGGGTCACACCGCTCGAACGCTCGCCTGAGGCCGAGCCCGAGTGAATCAAGCACCGCTGCAACCCAACCGTGGGCTCACACCGCTCGGACGTACGCCTGCGGCCGAGCCCGGGTGAACCAAGCATCGCTGCAACCCAACCGTGGGGGTCACACCGCTCGGACGTACGCCTGCGGCCGAGCCCGAGTGAATCAAGCACCGCTGCAACCCAACCGTGGGGGTCACACCGCTCGGACGCCCGCCTGCGGCCAAGCCCGGATGAACCAAGCATCGCTGCAACCCAACTGTAGAAGACACGCCGCTCGGACGTATACCTGCGACCGAGCCGGGGTGCCAAGAGCACCACTGCAACAATATCGCTGCAATACCACAGGCACCGCTAAAACCCAACGATATCTGTGGGATAACTAGATGTGACCGAATGGAGATGGCAACAAGAGCATATTTTACAGCCAAAACAGTGTGGCGATACGGAGAAAGTCCGGTAAGGTCAAGAAATTGTCCATTGGGTTAGGCCGCTCTAAAAATAACATGATGCTCATAATTTTAGAGAAGCGTCTCAGTGTGCTTAAAGGATGTCCGGCGACGCCAGCAAAGTTCACCAGGGAGACCAACATGTCCTTTAGAATATAATGGCTCCCAAGGGTCCCAAGGGCTTTGACTGGGCTTAATATTGTAAACGGATGCCAATGGTGTTCAAAAAAACACACAAGCTACCTTTAAGACATTCAAGTTTCCAGACACAAAAGACAATGCACACATTTGTTAGGCGGGATGCCGACGTTTCAAGGGTACCCATGCGAAATAAAGGAACATGTAGCGCCTAGCATACGAAAAAATCGAATGTGTCGGGGAATGTAACTCTTTTCTGTGTGCTGGCTTTCAGCACTGCCACGGCCTACAGTCATACATCGATTCATTCCCGTGCATCACGCTCAGTCCCGCGTTCTGGGGGTAGAGATTACACTCTACCCGCGCAGTCTTACGTGCCCAGCACACTAATGTTGGCTCAATCTGGACTCAGTAGCCCATGCGGCCAGAGGCTTGGTCATAAAACATCCTAAGTTACATGGTGCATAACTTCATTCCTGATTTAGTAAGTTAATTTGCCAAGTCTTGCGTGGGGACGAAGTCAGGCTTCTGGCTTCGAAGCGGAGCTCAAACCCAAGACAATGACATGAAGCAAACGTCGAAGTCGAAGCCGATGCCACTTAGGTTCGATCTGCGAAGCCGAAGTCGGCGCCAGCGGCTTCTTATATGAAAAAAAAACAGAACCGAAATTTTAAGCCATTGGGTTTGAAGTTCATACACGGAAATCCGAAGCCAAAGTCGGCGGCTCTAAACTTAGGAAACGCAAAGCCAAAGCCGAACCCATCAATTGAAATTCGCAAGTCCATAATCGTAGACGTAGCCGTAATGCACAACGCTGTTTTGCCAACTCGAAACCCCTTTTCACGTTTGCTGAGACAGCATGAAATCAAGGGCGGCGACACCGTGGAGGGCATGGAGGCATGCGCGCCACAGCTTTGAAACGTTGAGTACTGTTCTCCACATTTTTAGAGACCCGGAAATATGAAACGCATGTGGAGGTGTTCTAGTGGAGAGAGCAAAGAAGCAACGCCAATGAAATAGCACACGAAGTATTCACGGACAAATTATCTCATAAGGAAGCTTCTGGCACTGTAAACGGCAGCGTGCGCGCTCGTCACTTTGATTGATCAACGCGTTTCCCACGTTTCTCGGTCGTTGTTCCGCAGGGGTAAAACTTGGCATTTCTCTGCGAATGTTGAACCGGCCCATCAATCTGTGTTGGGCTGACCCGTGCACTGTGAAACTTCGCCCTCAATGCTCCATCAACCCTTTAACGCTCGTCCTGAATCGCCTTTTCATAACACGGACCGATGGAAGGGGCGGGGGTTGGTGTGACCTCTCCTCTGCCGTTTCCAAACTAACTAACTAATTAAGGGAAATAGGTACCCCACGAAACATAAACCTGTTGATTGTTCTCAACCAGATCTCACCATTGATAATAAGTTGTGCGTTGCTAGAGCAATACTTGACCCCATGTTGTCAGCTCAAAGGTCAAGTTGTCAGGCAAATCGCACTATTTCAGTTTTACATGTCAATATTTACGAAACCATACCACGCAGCAACAGGAAACCTACACGGCCATCTTCCTTGTGCCATTCTGAGCACATTTAGATCTAATTTTGTGTGGCTTGAGCGTTTGAGGTTCGCTGTGGTGCAAAACGCCACGTATATTTTACGTGAGTGACATCTGTTTGCAACGTATATTGGCCAACGCACCGTTGAAAACGTTTACGTGGAAATTGCCAGTGGTGTTTTTAAAAGTCGTCATTTTGTAATTTAGTGTTGGCAACATCAGTGCCAAATCGATTGTTGCATTTTATGTTTGTCGTGGCATATTTTTGCTCTGTTTATTGAGACCATGATTGTCGTCAATTTTTCAAAACAATTGGGGGGGGGGGGGGGGGAGCAGAGCCGCGAGCACTGGCGAAAGATGATAGGTTGAAAGCTTACCAGTTACACCAAATTTTGCTTTGGTCTGCCATCGTGTCTCCGTGACTCCGTGTGCCTGAAGTTGTTCAGGAAAAAGTACGTAGGGTATACAATTCGTAAGTTCAAAAGTTCGTGATATAAACAGCTCGCACAAGATAAGTTTAATGCAGTAAACACGTCCGTTAGGACGTTTTACGAAAGCTCATCAGCTTATAACGAAAATGTTTGCACGCGCAGCAGTTCGTTTGGAAATGGTCATACGGAATTTTACGCAGATAAATGTTCGTCACGTAAAAAGTTTGCCTGACAAAAGTACATACACAAAACTTTACATGTACTTTTGCACGGAAAGCAGAGTCAAGAGAAAAAATGGCACCAGTTGTACCCGTTTTATTGCACACACTTTGAGAAGGGCACACATCCACATACGAACGCGCCAGTGACCGTGCACGGAGAACGCGACTATTTGAACGATAAAATGCGCGCATGCTGTATACAGTGTGTTGCGGTACAAGGTTATTAACGACTTGGTTACAAAACACTTGCCCGGGGATCACACGCCGATGGAAAAACGCTGCGATGCACTCACCCCACAATCTTGAGGAGTGCGCAGAAGCCCTCTCCCCCGCACATAAAAACCTCCCCAGCACATCACATCACCCATCACACACACCAGCAACGCATCAAAGCTCGTCGCAAGATCGCTGGCGTTGCACCGCCATCTGCCGCTGCAGTGCTCGCGCCCGGCTCGCTGCACGGCTTCCGTTCAGTTCTCTTCAGAACGGTACGTGCGGTCCTCAGAGGGTGCCAGGCGCAGCCCCCTTCAGAGCGGCCGAGCCAAGGGTCCCGCCGGCTGACTGCGTCCGGAGGTAATACGGCGGGAACGGGTACGGGTACGGTCGCAACGGTGGGAACGGGTACGGCGGGTACGGGTACGGCGGGAACGGGTACGGCGGGAACGGGTGCGGTCGGAACGGTGGGAACGGATACGGTCGGAACGGTGGGTACGGGTATGGGAACGGGAACGGCCGGTACGGAGGGAACGGCGGGAAGCCGTGTCTTGACGGGTGGTGCTGGCCGGACCCGATGACAGCAGGGTGGGCGGCTCGGCCAGACACTTCACTGTTCGGCTGGTCGGCGCAGACGGCGGCCGCCGTCAGCAGGACCAGCAGGATCAGCCTCATCATGGCGCAGGGCCGGGGCACGAGGGCTTCCGCCTGCCGGCCGCGGAGAGCGACGGCGAAGGGACTCGACGGGCTCGGGCGTCCGTTCGTCCAGGCTGACACAGGACCGTCCCGCGGCGTTCTCCGCTCCCAGTGTCCAACAGCACGGACAGACTCAGTGGCCGGCCTTTATATTCGACAAAACCGGATTCCCAGTGGCGCGGTCAGCACACGGACCAGGCTCTGGGGGCGACCGCTGACTTATCTAGTAAAAAGGATTTCTGCTAAGGTCGATGCAATTTTGCAGGAGATAAGTCACCTACGTATGCAGTTTTCCACACGCAGTCGTCCTGATCCTGATGTCTCCTTATCAAACTGTGAGTTTTTACACCAATTCATTGGCATCACAGGACGGGCTTAGCTTAGGCGAGCTGTCCACGGAGGCTTTCCGATAGGATCCTATCAAAAACTTCCCTGACCAAGAATTGGTGTAGAACAGCACACCGTAGTTTGGCATCTAGGGGAGTGTGTATGTGGATGCCAACTGCATTTTCATTGAGCATCAAGTGGTGCATATAAGGAATACAGCTATCTTCCATCCCATCACGAGCGTCTTCACGTCTCCCATGACGTCTTTCCGAGTGCCCTCGCGTCTCCCAAGACGTCAAGTTCCGGCATGCCAGCCCGACTGGCAAGGCATCTGCCCACAGACAAGGCCTTGCTCACCTCCGCCGCGTGCCCGACCGGCGCGATTACTGCGTGATTCACCGAGCACTAAGCACCTGCAGGCCCCGAACCCTCCTCACCGCTCGGCACGCTCGGAGCAGGCCGCTGCCGCGCTGCAGGCTGCGGCGTCGCCGCCTCAGCCTTCAGGAGCCGGAAGCGCCGCCGACCGCAGATAACGCCAGCTGCTGACCGTGACGTCAGTCTTCCGTGGATTACTGCGCCGTTCGGCGGAGCACAGACCGCGCCGTGGCGTCGGTTATAAACTTAGTGTCGTGGTTGCTTAGTGTCGTGTCACCCTGCATTCAATCACGTCATATTGTTTTGTGGCATTATGTATTTCAATCATGTGCGCGCGAAAACAGTTTGAAATGCCGTTAAACGTAGCGGCTTACTTACGAAGTTGGTTTTTACACTATTGCCTAAATATGAAAACCAAGCACCAAATCCGACTTTGCTTAGTCACTACGGAAGGCACTCACATCGTCATACGTTCAATATGTCTGCTCATCGGTGTCTATGTCTGTCATCTATGTCTGCCCTTTATCGGTCGGCCAGTGCAAACGTCCGCGTGTAACAGGCAAATACCTGCTGGTCCGCGTTCGTCTTCTTAGCGGTTGGCCTTGGCATGCACGGGACATAACACGGTGATTAACCGAGTGTTTCTGCAGCTGTGTGAAAGCTTTTCCAGCGACCGGACCGGGCACTAACACGATGTAGAGCCTAGCATGGCCCGTACAGCGCAGCGTTTTCGACGCCTCTCCGCGATCCGGAAGCGGCCACGGCCCGCCTGGGCTCTGCCGCCGTGCACTACGTCCGGTTTGCGAGTGCGGTGCGGGGCGCCGAAGGCCAGTGCCGGCCGACCCGCCTCCGGCCGCGGTCATGGCCAGCCACCGGTGCGCCGCCGCCTCTCTGCTGCTCGCGTCACTGCTGAGTGGCGTCCGCAGCACCCCGCCGCAGGCCGCGTGCTTCCTGCCCAGGGCGCGCGGCGTCTGTCATGACTTCACCCGCGCGTGGCACTTCGACTCGGAGCAGGGCGACTGCGCATCGTTCTGGTTCGGCGGTTGTGGCGGCAACGCCAACAACTTCGCGTCGGCGGCGGCGTGCCGCGCCGTGTGCGTGGAACCGGGCGCCGGCTCGTGCCTCCAGCCGGCCGTGCGCGGGCCCTGCACCGACGCTGCCATGCTCTGGGCCTTCGACGCGGCCGCCGGCGGCTGCACGCCGTTCGTCTATGGCGGCTGCTACGGCACCAGCAACCGCTTTGCCACGCGCGGCGCGTGCGAGGCGCGATGCCTATCCTCGCCGACCCGCTGCCGGCAGCCGGAGCGCGAGCGCGGTCCGTGCCAGCACGACCAGGCGCGGTACTCGTACGTGCAGGCGAGCGCGCGGTGCGAACGGTTTGTGTACGGCGGCTGCGGTGGCAGCGCAAACAACTTCGCCACACTTGAGCGGTGTCAGAAACAATGTGGAGGCGCCTCCGCGAAGAGCGGAGACACGCCGGTGGAGAAGGAGGGGCAGGGAGAACTGGGGGAAACGACCCAGGCTCCCTTGGGAGTGGAAGAAGGAACTGAAGTGCAGGACAGTGTTCCAACGACCGCACAAACCGCAGCTGCAGCAGACATCTGCGCGCTGAGGCGAGACCCAGGCCGCTGCTTTGCCTACGCGCCCATGTTCTACTTCGATCCCGTGACCGGCAGCTGTCACCTGTTCAGCTACCGCGGCTGCGGCGGTAACTCCAATCGGTTTCACACCCGTCAGGAGTGCGAGATTCGCTGTCTCCAGCCTCGCGGTGGGGCAGATGCGGAAGCAGACGCTGCTGACGCCACGCTCAACACAACCGTGGTGGAGATCAGTCTCAGCAGCGAGGAGCTAAATGAGACCATCGCAGAAGTGTACAGCACGGGAACCAGCTCCTATCACAGCATAGCGCTGAATATCAATGATTCACGGCAAAATGAGCTACTTCCAGCAACAAACGCTGTCGAAACTACGACAAGCACCTATAGCCAGCAGCCAAAGACAACCCCGCTCGTTGTGAAGAAGAGGCATCGCGGCGGCGGTCGAGGTCGGAGACGTGCGTGCCGACTTCCCCACCGCCAAGGCCGATGCCGCCTCTACCTGCCGCGGTTCTACTACAACGCGGCGCTGGGTGCTTGCTACACCTTCATCTTCGGCGGCTGCGGAGGCAACGGCAATCGGTTCCGAACACGAGCCGCCTGCGAGCAGATCTGCAAGGGCGTGAAGGCACGGCCGTGAAGCCGTGGTCTGGCGAGAACTCGGCTAGTCACGGCAGCACGCGCACCGACTCTGGCTTTGTGGTCGGCGGCAGCATGCGCGCGGACTCTGGCTTTGTGGTCCGCGGCAAAGGCGAGGAAACGAGGAGAGTAGGGGGCAGTGGCTCTCGCTCTCCGTGTATATTCTCCACGCAAAAGTCAGGCATTAATGTCACGCTGATGCAAAGGTGTTTGGTGATGCGCTCTCTCTGACGTCCTACACTCCCCGATTTTGTCAGACATGTGTAAGAGGGAAACGGAGTGGTCACGGATATACCACGTCTTTTTAGAATACGCGCTTATACCGAATGTTATTGATTTGCCTTCTGGTTGCGGTTCGTAGTGTTAAGTAAATATACGCCAACATAAAAGTAAGACGGATTTTGTCTGCACGGAATGTACTGACAAAATTTTAGATATTTGTTGATGATGTCGGTAAAGTCGATTTGTCGTCGACTTGTATTTTACGTCACTAAAAACCATGTCAATAAAACTAGATACAATTTAGAAAAGGGTACCTGTCAGTCTTAGCCAATGAGTCGGACGTACCGATTTGCTCCAAATGCGCCGAATTTCTCAACCATATCAAAAGCGCTGAATACGTTAAATTCGTGCCTACGTTGTGTAAAATCCATAAGATGTGCTGAATATGTTAAGCTATGTCAGGTCCGGAGTCAAATATACCGTTATCGGGTTTTGAGGGCGTGCCAACGGCAAAGGCCATTTGCGCTGCAGTCAGATTATTTGATGTTGATAATTTGGATCAGGGGCACATCGACTGCCAGAAGTCATCGTTAATGCATGCGTTATTGTTAAATGCGTTAAAAATATTGAATGACTATTCTGCTGAGCCTGGTGAATATATGGAATGTCTTAAAAAGATAATAATAAAAGGGTCAAAAGTAGCAAAAAATATACACATGCAAACAGCGACAAAACAAAGGGTTGGTCCCATGTCCCCCCTTCACCCCCTGGAGGTGGCAAGGACCCTGTGGTTCCGAAGGCTCCAATGTTTTTTAGCAGTTTCAGACGCCTAGAGGGCTTCTATGACGTCATAAATCGGTGCTCGAGACATCAAAATGGGATCTCGGGCCTAAAAATATTCTAAAAATCCCCCAAAAAGGGCCTCGGTAACGACGAAGTGAGGACCCCTTGGCTGAAAGGGTCCTCACCATACGCATGCATCGATTTAGACCCTACCTTGGCAAAATACTGGCTACACCACTGTGTGTAAATATGTCTTTCAGATAAAAAATGAAAAGGTGCCCGTCCCACCTGTACATAGGCGTAGAGACGTTTTATAACGTGGAGGAGGAGCAGACTCGGGATGAACTTAAGAAAGTTTTCCTGGAAGGCAAGCCCGGCGACCGTTGGGGAGGGGGGGGGGGTAGATGGATGACTTTGTCCGCTCTGAATTCACATAAAGTAAATTGGTACATTTTGGTACATGTTGCATCTTGATACCCAAAGTACATTTGAGAAATAACCAAATGTCTGGGCTGCTATGCTAGATATACTTAAACAGCTGTTTCCCACTAGTCCATAGTCTTACCTGCTGAACTCAGGGATGTCATTGGTCAAACAAGACTGCCTAGCTTCCTAAAATTATTCGTCCGTTTCAACCCTGTCTCTCCTGGGGAGGCGGGACTTCACAAACGGGTAGCCATTTGTGGTCAATGGGGAGGCATCTGCCTCCACGCTTAAGGTCCCACCATACGATCTTGGCGGGGGCTGTCCAGAATTTCTCATTCAAATTAATGGCCCATAGCGCGCCAAATTTTTCGTGTTCCTGGATTTCGCTCAGTGCTTTTCAATATTTAAGTGTCTGTTGCAACATTTAAGCCAGAAACAGATTCGGAAGGTCCAAATACATTTTACTAAACAATGTAACAAAAGCTCCAAAACAGATTTTCGTGTAAAACGTATCTTCGTGAAAAAGACCAAGTTATAGTTCTGTGACGCCTTCATTCTTATGTCGACGCCCCTTTCATATATGCCTTCTTCTGAACGCCTTACTTCTGAATAAGGTACTTCGTCCGGATATTCCTTGTCTAATGCCTGAGCCATGCTCCCATTCGCTGTCAGCGGCCACTGTCCGAGAACAACTTTCCGCGCATGGCTGTCTCCGAGCTGATATATGACTGCTTTTTTGTGCGCTTATGGATCTTGCGCGCGCGCATCTTTGCTTATTGGCGCGAAAGGCAGATAGGACGCCTACCACAGTATCTATTTCCACATTATCTTCCTTACACCACAGCGTGAAATAAGCCCTTGGAAAACTATCTGCATTAGGCACGAAATCGTCCATCGGACATTCATTTACCACTGCTTCGAAGTATTCGACTTGGTCTACTTTTGCATGTAAGACGGAGATATACATTTTCTTTAGGCAAGTTGTATATCCTTCTCTGTCTTGGAGCGTAAGCGTTAACACGCGCTCGGGCGGGAGTGGGGGTCGCATTGACCCTCCTCAAGTGTTTTTCCAGAATGGTTTCCGAACGGCCCTGTGTAGTCGCGCCAAATTTTGCCTAACTATAGGGGATCGTGTGGTGTTAAAAATGCATCTGTACATTGTAAGGTCGCTGACCTATGGCAGGTCAAAGTCAGACCATGGATTCTGCGAAGTCCATTTCAGGGAATCGCTCAATCTGATGCAACAACAAAGTGTTAGACAAATCCATACATCTCCGACATACTTTTTGAAGCAACACAACAACTTGATGTGATCATCATTTTTAGCTCATTTGCCTCAAAAATATAGATTTGTACATATGCACATGTATACACAGCCATATATATATATATATATATATATATACATATATTTATGTATGATGGATATTGACTCCTTAAACTGATTGGGGAAGGCAAAGTTTGGTAAGGATGCTTTCATGTAGTGTGGTGGCTAATGCCAATAACCATGAAGCATTCCCGGCGCTCTTACGCGTGGCCTATATCAGGTCGTTCCAGTTCAACTCTGTGTGCTTTTTTAACATCACACCGGCTTGCAAACACCTGCTATTTCGCATGCGATCTGGAGGCCTCTCAACTAGATTACAGATACGGAACGCTTGTTTAGGAAACACCTTGTTTCTGAGGTCATTATAGGCTAACATGATACCTTTATCAGTGCACCTTCTGAGATCACCGCATGATTTCAGGACAGTCATACAGTGCATTGCTTATCCCCCGGGAGCGTCATCTAGGTTTGTTTATCACCCAACTTTTACCTCTTCGACCTTGTAATATAGTTAGCTTAGCAAGATGAAAACACTAGCGATATTTAACATGCGGTTCAATTTTGAGCCAAACATGCATAACGATGTGCATGGGCGCATGACACGGTCGAAGCATTAATTGCAGTGACCTTAACGTGGTCTATTTTTTCCCCACCCATCACCTATTTACAAGGTGCTCAGGAGTATCCACCCCTGTCTACTACGGGACACAAAACCTTACGTTAATACCGGCATTAGTAAACGAAATGCTGAACACCGCGGCACTCCCAGCTAATAAATGTGCAACCTACTAAACAAAACAAGAAATCATGCATAGCCAAATGAGTAAGTAACCCAATAAGTAAGTAACAACGAGTAAGTAATCATTAATGCTGTCCTGGTAGTACTGGTGCCTATAAAATCGACCAGTGCATCCTAACCAGGGCAGTCAGCAATCAGTTATCAAACCAGCGCTAAATTGTTGGCCCTGTGATCTGCACGAGTGGATAAAGTGGATAACAAGTGATCGCATATTGAAAAACTGTCAAGTTATATGGCCAGTGAGTTTATCAGTTATATTGATGCCATTGTGTTTATATTTCATCATCAGTTATACAGATGAGAATTGCACGGTTGATGAAAACAAAATTTGGGGTCATTATCGTCAAATTGGAAGCTATCGGCTGCAATTTCAATAAGCGAAATCGGTACTTTAGCACCAGAATAAAGCAAATCTTTGGGGCAAAGAGTGATCTTCTCTCTCAGTGCGTCGTGGGGGGCTAAGTGACAGGATAAGAGACAACCTGGAGGTCAGGGCGTTGGAAAAACTCAGAGATTCCCACAGGAACAGACTTAACGTGATAAACCATCAGACTTAGCTGACATTTCATCCTTACATGTTCTACTACGCTATGTAAGTCGACTGGCTAGTAATCCGTTATTGGAAGTTCAGGCGGAACACATCTCTCCACTCCGTCATCCCCACTTCACGAGTCATTCATCCGAAACAACCTCGCGTGCTGATGCACGTCACGCGTACCTTTGGCGGTACAAGCCCAACACTGTCCGTAAAAACGCATCAGATGTCGCTGCTCACACCAACCTTCCATGCAAAATTAACGAGGCAGTCCACGACTACGTTGTGGCAACGCTATCCAATTAGCGACCACACATACACGATGCGGTGGCCAGTACCGGCTCAGGAGCCCTGTAGCGCGAAGGTGAGTGATCACTGCTTCAGCTGCGAAGCGCTTCCTTTTTAAAGTGTAGTGTATTTATTTAATTTTTGTTTGTTATAACTTCTCTGGGGTTCCTTACCACCCGAAGCCAGTGACCAGCGTGGTCATTTGCACCACTGTATCAAAAGCTGCATAAAAATATAATGAAAGCAAAACAATTGTTTAAAACTATAAGCGCTAATATATTCATGTTCGGTGCAGAATTGAGGTCGTCAACTCCAACATTAAAGCTCGCGAAAAACTTTTCTCGCTTTTCTTGCCAAAGGGCATTTAGGGGACTAGACCGGCATCGGATCACATGCATATGGCTCATTATAACGAACACAAAATAAGAATGCATCCCACATGAAACAAGGTACTTGCAACATGAAGAAATATTAAATTGAGATGAAGGCGTTTTTCAATGAGTACTTTTTCCACACACGAGCATTTCTATCTCTATGAGGGACCTGCCCATCTGACCCACTGAATGTTGACTGCCATTGAATTACTGCTGACTAGATGTGATCAACTTTTCTTGGCTATTACGTTCACGTCAGCAGTGGCAGCGATGACGCCGCTGATCTGCTGGCATAAGGCATGTGCTGATTCCCGTGAAATAAGAAGCGGTATTAAGCTCGATGGGATCGAGTCTCCAAGCAAGTTAGTTCGAGCCTCCAAACCGCTGCGGAGTTGATGACCATGAACAAATGTAGGCCCAGCCTGGCATGAGCCTGGATTCTCTAGCATTGCAGGCATTGCTAATTTGTGACTGACACGTGCATATATATCGCCGTGGCTTGCGCTGTGTCGAAAACTCTCGGGGCAAACCGTTGGAAGACGTACCTATAGACGTAGAAACAAAATTTGCAGACACTAATTTTAAAGTTACTGTCTAAATTTGATTATATGTGCAGGTGTCTGTTTCCTTCTGAATTGGTTAGTTGAATCTACCCGCATATTTAAAGCTGTCGATAATGTAGAAATTAGATCAAGTGCCACAACGAAAAAGGTCGCTGACTTTTTTGCACTCTTGGGAAACAACAGTCGAAGAGTCTAAGAAAATGCTCTGCGTTAATTCATCTTCAGGTGCACAGGGTTCCGTGCACCGTGCACCGTGCACCGTTCCGTTCCGTGC